AAAAAAAAATTAATTTAAAAAAATAAAAATAAAAATAACAATCTATGAAAACACTCACAGAGCGCAAGAGGCCCACAGCCGTCCTCATCACAGTCGTTGATACAGCCACAGTCGTTGTAGCCGTCACAGCGGTAGGCCATGCTCAGACACTGCATGTTACGACACTCAAACTCGTAGGACCGACACGCTGTGGGAAGAAAGGACTCTCGCGTTCACACAATGATTGTCCAACTCCTACGTCTATATTGACCGTCTTAGATCACTTTAAGGTGGCGGATGCTTCGACTCCGCCAGTCAAGAATGTCACGGGCTATGAGGGGAAACCATAGAGCTTCCCAGGCGAAAAAATGGAATGTTCTATTTTAGAAAATAATTATATTATATCTTCCTCTTGTGAGCTTCAAATCCATCTTTGCGTGCAGAGGCAAGCGTACAGAGCCTAACCATTACATCGCAGCTGCTGGACAATGAGTGTCAACAGCTTCTATCACCGAGGTAGAGGATGCCACGGTACTAAATGGTCGCTCTTAAGCACAAGGGGGCTATCCCGAAAAATGCAGTTTTGAAAAAAATCAAAGGGAAAGTTTTGCACCCTTGTTCAGTTTCTTTAAAAGACAAGGAGAGTTTTCTCTATAACCAAACAAATATATACACAAACGAAATCAAACTTCTCCTATTGGTAGGACAATGCCCACTTTTTTGTGTAGGTCAAGATTTCTGGCAACCCCCGAAATCTGGGTCAGCCTGCTTGTCCTTAAAAGCAACAAAATGTCCTTATGAATACTTAAATAGAAAGATGCTTTACGAGGCGGGACCACCAAATACAAAGACTCATAACTCATAGGACTTTGCCGAGAGGGCAGAAAAGCTTTAAACTCTCCTTATAACAACCAAACTGCAAAATCGCACAGTTAAGGATACGAGCTACCCAACATGATACCAATGGAACTATCCATGTCTCAATGGAATAAAAACTATAGTGAGTATCATTGTAATTGTAAGATTTAAAAAAAATTTTCATGGTTTGTCAAACAAAATTAGTGGATTCAATATCAAGTATTAAAATTAAACTATTCTGAAGTTATCAATCCAGTTCTCGAGACCAAACAACCAAAAGTGTATGCCTTATGAGTGAAACTCGTTCAAAAACCTCTTTTGTTTTTTTCCACTTATGATGGAATTTGCCAGAAACCTCACCTAAAAGTTCTAATTTTTAGTATTCACTTCGAGGTTAAAGAATACGAAGCATCCATAAAACGTTTTTTGGGTACTTTTGGAACCCCCCAAAATGCATCCATAGCATTTCATGTCATGTCATTTTCAGTACCAAATGATAGTGAACGCAGTCCCTAATCTTGGAAGTGAAACTCTAACTCTAAGACTTATTCAACGTTCAATTTTTGACGCTTGGGTCAAAACACAGCCCAAGGCTGAGCTGCTTCTGTTACATTGATGTTGCTAACCTTCCATATTTCTATCTGAAATTCCGAGAATTAATATCTTCAACCTCAGAAAAGGACCTCCCAAATTTGATCTTGTCGTTTAAAAAAATGTATAAAGGCTATTGTTTATGTGTTGGGGGTATTTCCCCTCACGTGCTTGTGCACTTCACTTATTGTAGCAGGAATTTTCCCTCCCGACAATTAGAAATAAACCATTTAAATCAGAACAAATCCCCCACAGTAACTCACTTGGAGCAGCGTTTTGTGTGATCGCAGGAGTCGTGGCATCTGTGGGGAAAGAAGGAATCCATAGTTACGAATGTATTTACCAGTATTGTAAAAACAGCTCATAATGGGTACTATACCCTCAGTAGTGTCTCTTCAATGTCTGGTTTCACCCAAAACACTCACTATTAATTAACATTAACTATGTCTGCGAAGAAGAGAAAAACCCCAAACAAACAGTGTTCTCAATTTCATTTAGAAAAAGAAACACAAAGTGGCCTCATAGTAGTGTGTGTACGACAGGATATCATGTGGAGTTTGAACAATCTCCTTGACAGAAATGGCTGCTGCTACACTACTTTCACCAATACTACAACTATTTTCTTGAGTAAAATGAAGCACATCGACACAGTACCTGTTATCTAATAAAGGACGGGGAACGTCACAGACAGGCAGAACAACGGAAGGAAAGAAAAGATATAGGAGGACCTACCAGTGCCGCCATCCAACCACCCGCTCCTACAGCATAAATAATAATAATAAACTCCTCCCCCTCCTCCTCCTCCTCCTCCTCCTCCTCCTCCTCCTCCTCCTACTACTACTACTACTACTACTACTACTACTACTACTACTACTACTACTACTACTACTACTACTACTACTACTACTACTACTACTACTACTACTACTACTACTACTACTACTACTACTACCACTTAAAAAAAAAAAATTCACAGAAACAAGAAAAACCAGTTCAACCACATAAAGAAGAACTTTCACAACTTAACTATACTAATACTACACGAAAGGATATATACATATACATACATGTATATACACACATGCATTTATTTTAAAAAAAAATCAGAACTTACTAACAGTTAAACAAATGAGTCTCGAGCAATCGCTTAAACCTATCAAAATTTGTTGTTTCTCTGAGATCCTGAGGCAAGGTGTTCTGGTAACACAACAACTCAAAACAGCAGCACAAACAACAGCAAAGAACCGGTACTCACTGTAGAAGGAGGAGAAAGTGGCCTGCATGGCAGTGGCGGAGCCAGTGATGCCGTCCGACTTGAAGAGGACCCACATCCAGCGGTAGGTAGAGCGGACCACCTCGGCCGTGTGTGTGTCGCACAGCTTGGCCACCAGTGCAGCAGAGCTGTTTCCGTCTCGGATCTGTGGTGGTAGGGAAAGCTTAATGATGGGTGTTCGTTGTACCAGAGACATTGTCTCTGGTTGTACCAAACGTGCTGTACATATCTTTATTATCTATCCTCCCATCCGATACGATTTAGATCATCAAAAGGTTTGTAGAGGTTTTACGGCGCTCGAAACTGCGTAAGGTCATATGAGCGCCATCATCAAAAAGTAGATTGCTTCGACTGACGTTGCCTACCAGAGCCAAAATCGCCTGGACGAGCTACAGCTTCCCTTCTTAAGATGGAAATACTTGATAAAATTAAATATAAACATCATACCATGCCCTACCTACCGTACCGTGCCGTACCGTACAGTACTATACTCATTTCCAAGAACGATTTTGTTCCATACCCCCCCCCCCCCCCCCCCCCCACCCCAATTGAAGGCTCTCCCGCCTTCACTCAATTTATTGTCATCAAGTTTCGATATAAAATGACGCAAAAATCCAAACTCTATCACTAACACCCTCCTTCAAACCGCAGCTGAGTCCGTCTATCACTCACAGGACGAACCAGCCATGAACGACGCTACTGCGGCCACTGAAGGAACAACAATAACGACGTCTCTGTGACAGGGTTAAGGAGCTATATTATACATGCTTTAGTGTGTATCACATTCCACTGATTCTGGCGCGCCATCAAAAGATCTAAAACACTAACTTTATGAGCGTTTATTATCAGGCCAAGGACTACTACGTTAGTATAGTAGTCTTTGTAGCAGGCCTATCCAATGATTAATTTCATCAATTTGTGCTAAAATGGGAGCTCCCCCCCCCCCCGCTCCTTTCATGGGGGGAAAATCTGACCGCCTTCAAAAGTAACAAACCATATCAGATGAGGATTTGAGGAAACTTTGTGCAATGTAGAGTACTAGGTATTGAGTTTTAGTTTTAGTAAGAGTTTTACGGCACTTACAACACAATAAGGCCATATAAGAGCCGAAGAATAGGTGTGTTACAAGAGAGTAACTTACACTAAAAAAAAGGAGGAGAGATAAGGAGGATAGATGTTTGATAGAAAGACTATAACAACAGATGGAAAAACAAGAAGTAGGACCTACAAGTGGCGCCCTCCAACCACCCGTAATACTAGCAGGAACAGCATACAAATACAATGATAGCACAATTTGTTTTAGTAAGCATTTTACGGCTTTTGCAACACAATAAGGTAATGTAAGTGCGGAAGATTACTCTAGAGGTGTTACAAGAGAGTAAAAAGTTGTTCCCGCATCCGATCCGGACATTGGGGATTGCCTTGTTAGTGAGACAACTTTTCCTGGGCCTTCAGCACAATGTGGTAGGGTTAACAGTTCCTTTCCACAAGAGAGTAACAAACATAAAAAAGAAGTATGAAAGATAAAATGATAGTTGTTTGATAGGAAAGAAGGAGCAAACCACAACAGAGCACCCGCCAACCACCCACGATATTGAGTTTACCTCAAGGTAGTCGGAACAGTCTCCATTGTAGCGCTCCCCCGTGAAGGTGACGGAGAGCTGTACCCGATATTTGTCGTCGGTTCTGATGAGCCAGATACACTTGCTGTAAGTCCCGTACATGTTCGGGTAGTCTGGACTGTAGATGGTCCCGGTGGAAGAAGGGCCCAGGTCATAATAATCGCCGCAGTCTGCAGTTAGATTATGATTTATTCGTGAGTTTAGTGGTGCGAGGGGAAAAAACAGCTCGTTGACACGAAATAAATGGGATATATGAGGAAAAAGATCATACGTTTCCTGCTTTTAAGAGAGTATCCCCACTCTCATCATTGTCAGCAGTAAGAGCAGCAAGAGCAGCAACATTTCTGTCAGTAAAGTGAAGAAAACATGCACCCACACTCTTTCCAATTTTCATTCAGGGGTTTTAAACTGTAAAATCCTCTCAAACGCAAAACGAAGTTAAATAATACAAATGAAAACAATTTAATAAACATAGCAGAGGTTAAATGTCTACAGCGAAAATTGATGTTCGGGTATCTGTCACCTTATGGTATTGGACATTATCGGAGAAGATAGGTAGTCATTTAATCATGTATATATGTCTCAGAAAGTTATCCAATTTCCACAAAGTAACACAGTGCACAGTATCCTACTATGGTGGAAGGGAATTCGTTATCTCACCTGACTGTGCCGTGACCGAAGCAAGCACGACAGACACCGAAACTGAAACAAAGAAGAGAAAAATATGTTATTCTTGTGTATTTATCATGTATGAACACGACAAGGAGGAATTGTCTCTACCTCTGTCTGTCTGTCTGTCTGTCTGTTTGTCTGTCTGTCTGTCTGTCTGTCTGTCTGTCTGTCTGTCTGTCTGTCTGTCTGTCTGTC